TGTATAAATAAGCATAGATCTTCGAGTGTTGGTTTAATTCAGTTAACTGTATAACGTCATTTCATTTTGATTTATGCAGTTGCTTTGTGAAAGATTAATCTTAACGACGGCGTAATGACGCAACTTTTTCTGGTCGCTAAATTGAACTGTTACAGTGCAACTGTATAATTCATCACTGTTTTTCGGCTGTTTGAATACTTCCCGCTTCTGTACAGTTTTCTGAATCCGGCAGACAGAGGTAGGAGTTAGGAAACAGTTATCACTAACCATCAAACGACAGCAAACACATGGATACTGCAGCCAAGCTGTCCAACGAAAAACAATTCATTAAAAAAAGCTCTTATAAAAATTATGAGAAAAGAAAAATAAAATTGTTTTGGATGAGCTAAAAGGAGAATTTTCCAGAAAAGTTCAATCTACTTAAGCAGGAGGTCTTTTAAGTGCTGTGTGTTTCGAGAACCATTATGCTGCTCATATGATTCCTTTTATCGGGAAAAAAAAGGACAAAAAAAGGAAACCAGCAAAAAACATAGTAGGTTAAATATAAAATTATGTTACGTGGGAGAAAATTAATGCAGTTTTCTATAATCATAAATGTGCTACCTAAAATTTTTGAATTAAAATTTTTACATAGCATCAAAAAAGCCCGAAAACTGTAGAGAGTACGGCTTTTAAAATCTTTCTGAAAGCAGTAAAAGAAATTTGGTTTTTTTTTTAGGAACAGTAAAAGAGACTTTTGTTATAGTTATTTGAAAAGGCAGACGAGAAACTAAGAGACTGAATCTTTAGGATTCTGTTTAAAAAGGTGAAACAATGAACAAATGGGTAAAATATTTACGGCAAAGTTTGGTACAATTTTAAGCAATTTAATTTTTTTTTCAACAAAAGAGGAATTGTTTACCATTAAAAATAAATACAGCAACAAAAAGATGAGCCAAACTCAAAATTATTGTAATCTTTAAGAGTTATATCTAATTTTATCAATTAATTAACCTTCGTAAATCCTTCAAATTTTTGTTTCAATAGTTGCTACATTTCCTGTGAAAATATCGACCGTAAACAGACCTCTCTACGCATGTCATTACACACGAATAGCGAAGTTTTCGTAACCGAAAGGAAATTAAATTTTAAGGATTATAATTGAATGTCATTAATAAGACTTGAAGGTCTCCTCATTAGACAATAATGTTTATCAAATACACAGTTTTACATAACGGAATTAAGCGAAGGAAGACCCAAGACAACTTGTGTCAATGACTTCTTGAAAATGACAAATTTTTGGCAAAAAGAAGCATAAAAAAATTGTTACAGGGAGAAGCCTTTTCCAAAGGGACTGTGGGACTGCGATTCTGCTACTGTTGATTCCATAAAATACCCAAGAAAAGCATGCGAAAAAAAACCAGATGCCTAGGACAGTTTTCAACGCATTCTGAGAGCAACTCTCTAGATTAGCAGATTCCCAGTCGGTGAGACTGGGACATCAAGAAACCGATCATTTAGGCATCGAATGCAGAGCCGAGACGGGAAAGACTGGTTGCCTTCTTAAAGTTTTTCAAGTTTTGACTTCTAACACACTTTTTTTTCTTGTTTCATTGGCATGAAAAGCAGCTACAGCTGTCAAAACCATTATTTACACAGACATATTGGTAATATCTGTGAACAACGATGAGCTCTATTTGCATGTTTGAAATATATGAGAGTGCTGACTCAGTATTACTGATTTGTGTGTAAAAGTTGTGAAGAAATTATGTCGACATTTCCAAAGTTTTTCGGTTTCGCCATGTTTTCTTTATCCCCCTAGTAAATATAGTTTTTTGAAACTGTCAGAAACGTGAGTCTTGATCATTCTTGTCATTCTTCCTCGAAATAAATCAAAATCACTTTTCGACATTACCGTTATTCAAACATATGGAGTTATAATTCCAGTTTATTAAAAATACATTTGGGAAGTCATAGTCAATAGTGAAAAAAGACTGGTTGTTTTCGTTGACCAGAAGAGGAACTACATCTTTTGTGGACTGTACGGACTGTAAAATGAGAAATAGCTTCAAATTCTTCTGTTTAAATCTATACTACGCCTCAAATTGATATCCTCTAAACCGCTGTGAAAACGTCTCTTGAGTAGGGTATATTACTGTTCATTATCGGATGATTGGAGGACTAAATTATGCAGGAACTCTTCAGTTGGAATCACAAAAGTGTTGACAAATTGTAATATAATTTTTTACTTATTTTGAAGTAACCGATACTAATTCCCCCATCTCTCTCCTCTAGAGGTTCCGCTACACATGGCAGAATGAGGGAGATACAGAGAAGCAGTAAAATATCTGGCCAAAAACGACACCCAGGTCAATGATTAGATCAGTATCCTTTGACATATATAGTGGAAACCTTCAAAAACACGCTATGGACTAAAGCAAAAATAAATTTTCTAATACCTGTCTAAAAATTTCCAAATCCTTGCCTTTGTCTAGATTTTATGGATTTTATCAACACTCAATTCTATAAAGCAATTTTCGAGTAACATATGCAGCAAAGTTGAATTTCCACTGTATCCTAGGTTTGTGAAATTCAAAAGAAGCATACTGCTTTTTTCAGAGGAACAAAATTATTTTCGTAATTGAATTTTACAAATTTGCTTCGCTTCGGTCGTTACGCTGGACCTTGTTCCTTATGCATTTGCCTAAAAATTACTGAAAGATTAGACAGGGATAACTTGATGTTCTGTGCCAATAAGAGAAAAGAACCGCTCGTGGATTTTGCTGCTACTCCTCTGACACATCTCGAAGACTCTTGATATTTTGAAAAATTACTTCGAATGAAGCATGTCCAGTCCAAAAAGCCGTAACAGAGAGGATGTACACTTGTATTCATCCTTGAATTTATTAAAAGCCATATATGAGTAGAACGTCTGTGGTTCAACGAAATTCTTAAAACGCACAAAAAGTATCGTGGGACTTGTCAGCACTGCCCGAGAATTTCCTTCATTAGTGGGACTATTATGTTGCTGTTCTTGAATCTTACAAATCTTAACTTACTTAGAAAGTTTACATAACACTGCAACCCTTCTTTGTTTCACACTTTGTTAGAGACACTAGTGGTACAAAAACTTAATTCCTTGGAACACTTTTTGCCCAATTTAATACCTAAAGTGCAATTGTCTGACATTTATGATACAGTACACTTTTTTTATTGTATTCACAAAATTTTCAGGTTTCACGCCTCTCGCAAAGCACCTCAACTGACTCTCTAGCCAAGCGGTCTATTAATGTACAATACAATCAACACTCCTTCATAAACTGTCAGGTTTAGCTGGGGAGGTTTTTGCAGCTTCCTCCTTTAATTTCTGAACCATTTCCCGTGCAGCAGCTCTCTTCTTACTATTCTTTTCTTCCTTCTTCCTTTCCAGAACCTTTAACTGTTCTTGATAGGAGTATGGACCATTGAGTTTTCTATCGACTGCAAATTTCAATCTGAAACTACTGACAAAATTTAAGTGGGGTTAGGCAAGCAAGGTGTAAAGAGTGTTAAGTTCGCAGAGCTTTTACTTTTTTCCTCGCTGCAAAGATATTTTACTTCAAAAGGGTTAGTCTTCAGACTAGTCGGGAACAGTATGGGAAACAAGTTTTTTCTTGTGGGACCTATTTTACACCGAAAGGTTGACGTTCGTTAAGAAAAAGTAGAAACAAAACCAAAACTGCATGAAAGCTGCTGTTCAACATTTACAGTCAAATTTAACATCGAGACGCACACAGATGCTTTTTACCTTTCGTGAGCAATTCTGATGTTTTCAGAAAGAGCTCTTGAGTCGTGTACCTTAACTGTGACGCCAGTAGGAATGTGCTTTAACATAACAGCGTTCTGTGCTTTATTCACCTTCTGTCCCCCTGGTCCCCAACCAGAAATAAATTTCTGAAAATTATTTGTTCAACCGCTCCATAACGTCTGAATATTTAAAGAAAAAACTTTTGGGTAGCAGGAGATTGATAAGAAACAAAAGATAAAGCTTAATTATTTTTTTTTAAAATTACTTGTTTGCATTCTTCCTTCTTAATTTCAGGAAACTTGTATCCGCTCAACTGTTGCTTTGGTGATACTGAGCGGACAAATGTCACCCATATTTCAATTCTTGGTAACAGTGTCATTAATTTGGTGGAACTAATCATGGGTGCACTAATAAATCTGCAAAGAACCTCAATTCCACATCAGCACCTGTAAACTCCATCCAACGACATTATTTCTTCCCCCTTTACAACCATCGTAAAGAAATATAAGCAAAAAACTGAACTCGTTCTTTTTTTTTTGTTAGACCATAACAGACAGCAATGACGGAAAAACTGCGTCCAAAAACTTAATTACCCAATTGTTTTCCGGCACCTTAAACTAGGAAGGAAAAGTATCACATATCATATGTGAAATATAACTAACCTAAATACTGCTTATCGATGTACTTGGTAGCACATACAAATTCTGTCAAGCATAATTTTATGTCCAACTGCTGTTCCAGTAAAATTTAATATTGGTTAACACTGAAACGAAAAAACTCAGCCTTTTCAACAAGATAACAAATAAAAATAGTCACTCGAAATACAATGGAAAGTAATTTAACGACGCTAAAACATTTTTAAGAGATCAAGAGTCATGGAGTCTCAAAAAAAGGATAAAACACACTGAATAAAGTATTCAGAAAAAAGCCTAATAATACTTAATCTTCAAAACAAGTCAAAGGTGCTTGCAAAAATCAAAAGAAGCCGATTTCATTACAACAAAAAGTTACATAAAATTTCTGAATATTCCAAATCACTTAACTACAAACCTGAAAGGCAAAATATTGTACGCAAAGGAGAACCAATAAGTTATTTAACTGCATAACAATGACCCAACACTGTTGATGTCAAGTGAAAAGAACAGATTTACATAAAAGCTTAATATGAATAAGACTAAAATCCAAACTCGACATGAGACTGAAACCATCTCGTGCACTTACACAATATCTATTAGCAACTAAAACTAAAACGGTTATTCTCATATATATGCAATAAAGTCCTGTAAGAATTACAGTAACATTGTAGTCAATTTAATTAAGCGAAATATAAGGAATCAGACAATACAACAACACCTAGCAACACGCCGACACTAAGAAGTTAACAACAAAGAACTGCTGGCAAAGCAAACAGCCCACAAAATAAGTGAGTTCCAGGCAGCAATCTCGATTATCGGTTAAAAACCTTCGAAAGAAAAATTAAAATGTTAATGTTAACCTATGTTTTAAAAATTCAGCCCTCAATGAAAAAATTTCTCCTCTAAACAAAAATTTTTAAAGTAACTGAATATCCGCAATTTACAGCAAAATCTGATTAACTTACATCTTCTTATATTCACCTTAGTACAGAACTCTTAAGTTCAGCAGCACAAAGATAATCTAA